GGACCCTGGGAAGCCCAAATATTTTGCAACCACACCGGACCCTGGGAAGCCCAAAAAGCGAAAACAAATAGTCTTTTGAAGACAAGCGGTTGAATACCGGCCGAACGGCTGAGATGATTCACTCATAAATTACTCCTACCATGTCTAAACTTGTTATTGACATATCCCGCAATCTCATTCTAATTTAGGCCCATAGGCGTCTTTGTGGTTGTTTCGGTAGAAAATCGTGGTTGGCCTGGTTGTTCCATAATCTATCAGGGCCATCCATTTTGTTCGAAAGGATTATGTTTAGGCCCTCCTACTACGAATGGCGCATTCAGGACGACCTCCTGACAATCCTGTGGGCGCTGAACTTTGCAGGCGGGTTTGATTGCGGTCGGGGCCTCTAAATGGAACCATCCGAATGGGCGCCTGAAACCAACCCCAAGGTGAATTGCAAAGACATATATGCACCTAATCTGTACTTGGCGCCTTGCATAGTTGATTGGATTCTACACAAGTAACGCTCTACTTCCATCAACCCGTCAGCACAAAAACACATCTGGGCGCATGACTCGCGACCTCACAAAGGTTTTGGTTTGCAACCTCAGCCCTCTGACCTTTCATAGTGGAGCCCTCAGTTTGGGTTGGTAACTGATAATTCTTCCAGATGACATTCGGCGCATGCGACTCAAGCCTCATGTTGCTTTCGGGCGTGGGGCCGGGGTGGTAGATTCGGCGCGCTGGCTTACATCGATTGTTCAACTTACCTTTTGTGCGTGTTCATTCTGCAAAAGCCGGTCCGCCCCAAAATGATGTTGACATGAGCCCCCCTTGTCAAAAAGGAAAGTAGCCTTCCAAGAAGTATGTGATCGGACAAAAGTGGTCTGAGTGTCTCTCAAAATTGAGTCTTCCCTCCAACGAGTTTCTCTCCCTCCATTTGCTTAAGAATATCTTTTATTTTGCCCTGTTGGTTTTAACGGGAATCTATCACTACTGGACGTATTTTCTCATTTTTCCCAGGGGTCTTAACCAAATGGAAGCCTGGAGTCTCCATGACCCTTCAAAAATGGGGTCACTACCCAAAATAATGGGTCATTGACCCATTCTTTAAGGGTCATGGAGACTCCAGGTTCCCTCCAATGAGTTTCTCTCCCTGTCATTAAAGGGAATCTATCACTACTGGATGTTTTTTCTTCCAGGGGTCTTAACCAAATGGAAGTCTCCCTGTCGAAGACTTTCCCGACTTCTGCGAAACTTTCCGTCGCCTCTCCGGGCAGGGCTTCCTCTTGCCGCGCTGCGGGCGGCGACCGAGCGGCTTCTGCGGGCCTCAAAGAGGCGGAGGGCGCAAGCTGCGCAACTGTGGATGGACGAAATCCGTTCGCACCACGTTAAAATCGTGGAAAACCACGGTTGGTTGGTATTTACAGGGGAATCGAATCATTCTATGGCTTCTCAGGTGATGCGAAACGGATTTCGTCCATCCACAGTAGGTCCCCCAGCTAGGTGCCCTTTTACCGTTTCTTTTTTGGTGGGGAGGGTTTTCGTCTACTAAGTAGACCAACAAAAAAGACACATCGGGTACCCTTATAGGCAAATGAGAAGCTCACCTCGGGGTGAAACGAGTGAAAACCCCTTTGAAAGTCCTTGTCTGTAGAGAGTCGTAGAGGGTCCAATTCTCTTTTCAGGACCCTCGGAATCATTGTGCAACTTGCAAACATGTGCACTTACTTCGGAGACCTACTACACAAGTTCCAGCTTCTCAGATTGGCCTGTTTTCGTCAAGATCGCTTTACTTCTAGTAACAGAAGCGGCTAAGCAAGCAATTAAATACTTGATCCTCTTCTAAACATTGCCGAAATTTGGCTCGCACATTCCCGTGAGAAAGTCACTCCCCGTCTTCCCGCTTGCTAGATGGCCAGGGTGACGCCCCAGCCGACTCACCATGTGCAAGACGAAGCTGGTCTGGAGCCCAAGGTGGTGCTGGAGTTGGAAGATCGCGGCTCGGACGCAAATTATTTTGTTCCTTTTTGTTTCCTTGCTGGTGCTCAGTAGGGAATGACGCATCCTTTTGTTTGCCGTTTTCTTTCGCATCTCTTGTTTTGGGTGGTGTCCGAAAAAAATCCTTCAAAGGAAACCACAGGTTGGTTTAGAAGGGTCATTCCCTCATTCCCTGCTGAGCACCGGCAAGTTTCGCATGTTTTTTTTTGGGTGGTGTCCCACTTGACAAAGTCAACCTGGGGAGGGGTGCCCCTTGTTGGCTCGGACAGGCGTGGAAGGCCAGTTTGGTCAAACATAGCTAGGATTAATTTGGTCGTTTTCGCTGCATCCTTGGCTGGGCCATAGGTGTGCTTGGTAGTAGAGGGGCCGGACAAGAAGTATTATCCAGTTGCAGGGTACTGCTAAATTTCACCCGTACGAATTCACCTTCTTGATTAATCCGGGGTCGACCTTGGCCCAGCTTGTTATTGAACATAGGTGGTTTTCGCAGTTTGGTTTGGCTCAATAGCGCCTTCCATGTCTTCAAAAGGACAGGGCTTGGACACTTCGTGTTCGAGCCCAAAGATACAGCGAAGTTGTTTTGGGTGAATGACTTGGTTGTTCTATTAGTTGGGAGTATGGAGGCAAACCTAAAACAAACAGTGCAAGCTAGAAACCAGGTGGGGATGGGACGATTATCTTCCCCAACACTATATTGCTAGGGTTGCTCCTTTCCCAACCAGCCAAAGCCGCGTAAGCTGTCCGCTTCTTTCCCAGGAACCACAGTTTCTTGCCAGAATCCTCTAACATTTGAAGGTGGTACTGATGGCTTGTCTATGTTTTTATCGGGTTTGCGGCTGGCTGTTGCTTTTTGTTTCTTGGTAGCAGTTGCAAGACCCTTGTCCATTGGTATTTCCTGTACTCGCTGGTTTCTCTTCGCTCGTCCCGCAGATATCTCATCAATTTTGCCAAGATGTAGTCGTCACTTGTACCAACTAGGTTGTCAATTGGAGGCCCTCGACGACGAAGACTGGGAAGACTCCGCCGACACAGGGAGGGCTCCGGTTTGAACGCCTGAAAAGACGGACAAGCCCTTGTAAATGCACGAAGGCAGGAAAGGCTGGTAGAAGACTGGGAAGGCTCAGGGCAAAAACCGGGGAGGCTCCGGGCAAAGACCGGAAAAGCTCCGGTGAGAGACCGGACAGGCTCCGTTTCTTCCTTTTCTGTGCTAAGCAGTGAGTCTTTGCCTTCGCAGGAATCCACTGACTATTGCGGAAGGCTACGCCCAGCGCGCCCAATTGCCAGAGGTAACCGTTGGAAGGGCAGACGAGCCAAATTCGTTCTTGCCACCTGCTTCATGTCCTCTTCTCGGGTTGCCGCTGCGCGACGGTCCTGAGCAATTTGCGCCACACTGACAGCTGCGCTGTGTGCTTTGCGTCTTGGCCTGTGGCTGGCGCTGCAGCAGCGGACGCAAGCAGCGCCTTGAGCACACGGGTCTTGGCGACACGACAGATCATGATCGCGCGTGAGTGCCGACCACATTTCCCCGTCTCCAGCTTCAAAAGGTCTACTGTTTTCACTACAAACCCTTTGCAGGAAGCCAGCAAGCGATCAGTGATCGGCCTGGCCCATTTGCTCGAGGCTGCGTCCGAGTGATCAAACCGTTGGCCAACTCGGGCCTTTTGCGATTCATGTCTGACAAGCGCGGCAAGGACAAACTTCAGGCCGAAGCGATTTCCCTTCCACAAGAGCTTATACGCTATTCGTCGCAGCGCCCCTTCGGTCGCGCCACGCGCTTTCTCACATGAGGTGATGTCGAGTTCCGTGCTCTTTGTCAGAGGTTGCCAGCAATAGTGTTTAAGACACTTCTTGGGAAATGCCACGGGTTTGGACGTTTGCGTGCGACGCCAACAACAACACGGACATGGCTTTTGGTCAGGTGACGCCCGCAAACACTTCGGGCGATGCTGCAGTTCGGTGTCCGCATGTGCTGGTTCAATCAAACAAGTTGTTGTCCAGGCAATCCTTGCGGGAGCCGCGTGTGCGCTTAACTCTTTCCCTGGGTGAAGGCAAGTGAGAGGGATTGTCCGACTTCACCCTCAACATGGCTTGGTGTTTGTGGAAGCTTCTGTCCTTTCGGAAAATGTTCAACTGCACTTCCAGAGCGCGTACCATTCCACTACGTGTAGGACCCAACCCCCCCCAATCCACCCACCCACCCAACCCAACCCAACCCAACCCAACCCAAACCCAACGCAACCAACCCACCCACCCACACACCCCACACACCCACCCACCCACCCACCCCACCCACCAGAAGCCGTTCCTTGCAACACTAAGGAATGGTTCTCTACAAGCTCCTCGACTTCAGCGAATGGAGACCCCCCACGGAGGCATATGGACACCCTCAAAGCAGTCTATGCCTCGATGGTTTGAACTTCGGGCCACGTGTTTGAATGTGATGGTTTCGAAGAAAAGGGTTCTAAGTTTCTGTTTGCAACTGAATGGCCGCTGAATCGTTCGGACAAACCAGTTCTGACCAAATATTTTCAATTAAGCAAATATGAAGTCACTGTGTCTAGCGAAAATCATATTTTCAGCAAGTTGTTGTCACTGAAGGCTCTAACAAGGCAATCTATCCAACAGACGTCCTCCAATTGCAATTGGTCAGGGGTGGCGCACACCAACTTCTGGCGTTTTCCACCCACAAGGCTTCCCATTCGCACATTAAGGCTCTCGAATTGGTCGGTGGCAAACTCCAACCTCCTGGTGTTTTTGTCACGGCCGTCCAAAGCAAGGAATCCCATGGGCAGGGTTGAACACATTTATTGACCCCTTGTATCAAACCATGTGATTGTATCGCTTCGTTTGAGACTGTTTGGGTGCATCTTATTTTGAGGGTACGCTTTGGGGCCGTTTTACAGGGAAGCCGAGAGGGGCAATCACCTATTTTTTGGGGTCTCCGAAACAACGACACACCCATTTACTTAGAATCTTCGAGCTAGAGCAATTCAGGAAGAACCCATCAGTCATACATGACC